CCTGTCCCTCCCATATATAGTAGAGAGTGCGCAGCTTCCGTCATAAACATTCCCAAGTACAGAGCCCGATACGGTCCAAAGCCAGCCAGTTACAATGCCAGGCGAGACCAATATACCCCCTCCTGGAGACAGGTATATCTCCAAAGTCCACATTGCCGACACTCCCATCACTCTCCGGAACTGGCACAAACATGTCAACTGGCTGAACGTGACCATGATCGTCCTCATCCCCCTCTACGGCTGCATCCAAGCACTCTGGACCCCTCTACGACTCAAAACGGCCATCTGGGCAGTAGCCTACTACTTCTACACAGCCTTAGGCGTCACAGCAGGTCCGTCCCATCACCACATCTCAACCCCCATCCCGCATTCTTCCTCCTAACCCACCATATCAAACAGGATACCACCGCCTCTGGGCCCACAGATCCTACACAGCAACCCTCCCTCTCCGCGTCATCCTGGCCCTCGCCGCCGGGGGCTCCTTCCAAGGCTCAGCGCGCTGGTGGGCACGCCTGCACCGCTCGCACCACCGGTACACAGACACAGAACGAGACCCCTACTCTGTACACAAGGGGATCTTCTACGCGCACTTCGGCTGGATGATACTAAAGCAGAACCCGAAGCGGTTCGGTCGGACTGACATCTCCGACTTAAACGCCGACCCCGTGGTCGTCTGGCAGCATCGACACTTCATGGAGATCGTTATCCTCATGGGCCTTGTCGTCCCCATGCTTGTTGCCGGCATCTGGGGCGACTGGTGGGGCGGGTTCGTGTACGCAGGCATTTTGCGGATCTTCTTCGTGCAACAGGCCACTTTCTGCGTGAACTCCCTGGCCCATTGGCTGGGTGAACAGCCGTTCGATGATCGCAATTCACCTCGTGATCATGTCATCACGGCGTTGGCCACGATGGGTGAGGGATATCATAATTTCCATCATGAGTTTCCGTCGGATTATCGCAATGCGATTCGGTGGTATCAGTATGATCCGACTAAGTGGGCCATTTGGTGCTGGGGACAGGTGGGGTTGGCGCGTGATTTGAAGACGTTTCGTGAGAATGAGATTGAGAAGGGGAGGGTGCAGCAGTTGCAGAAGAAGGTTGATAGGAAACGGGCTGAGTTGGATTGGGGGACGCCCTTGAGTGAGTTGCCGGTTATGGAGTGGGAGGAGTTTGTGGAGAGGGCGAAGAGCAGGGCCTTGGTCGTTGTTGCTGGGGTTGTGCATGATGTTGAAGAGTTTGTGAGGGAACATCCTGGCGGAAAGGCGATGATTCAAGCTGGTGTTGGGAAGGATGCGACCGCTATGTTTAATGGTGGTGTGTATTATCATTCCAATGCGGCGCATAATCTGCTGTCGATGATGAGAGTGGCAGTTATAAGGGGTGGGTGTGAGGTGGAGGCTTGGAAGAGGCTGCAGAAGGAGATGTAGGGGAATTTAATGTATGGTGGGTTTCTTGTTATGATCTCATAGACTTGTATGGTAGGGCTTGTCCCGATTAGGAAACTCGGAGGTCGATGGAAGTCCTTATCATAATCGCCTCTCAAGTTGCGCTTCATTTTTCCCGTCTGTATCACCGTAGACGAAACCTGTTCGACTTCACGTGCAATGCGACCGATAAAATCGCAACCTTCCTGAATCAGTCCGGGAGTCCAGAAGTCGCGGCATGACGGCATCGCAACCCAACGATAGCCACAGTCACAGACATCCGCGGAAGCCGAAAGTCTATCCCTTAACTTGGTGATTCCTCCCCTCCGGAAGAACAAAGATACTTTAAGATTGATAAGCATTGCTACAAAATATCATCATCACTGCCCAGGTCAAATGAGGTACCCCGTAAAATCCGACAAAGAATTGCCATTGTACCCCCGGAGCAACCGGTAGTTGACCCAGAGCTTCGTATCCACATGTTGAGCTCATTGCAACCCTCCACCGATGATTGCTCAATGGGGCTTCGAGTTCTCCACCATGAATTGATGGTGACATCATGAAGAATATCTTCCCCTTGCTTAACCTACAGTATAAAATGGGATCCCTGGGGACCTCGCAGACGAAGACATTATTAGATTCCTGCAAGGTAAATCAATTCTATATTTATTTACACCAATCAGAACCTCCATCCGACACCCACCATGGGCTACGATTTCACCGTCTTCAAAGGATCCAAAGACGGATCCATCCAGAAAGCCACCACCCACCGCGATGATCTCCAACGCGACCAAGTCCTCGTCCGCCTCACCCACTCCGGCGTCTGCTTCACCGATGTCCACTACCAACACGCAGACATGGCCCTAGGCCACGAAGGTGCCGGCGTCGTCGAAGAAACTGGCCCTGAAGTCCATGGACTGCGCAAAGGCGATCGCGTCGGCTGGGGCTACCAACACGACTGCTGCGGTCGATGCGCCCAGTGCCTAACGGGCTGGGAGACAATGTGCCCAGAGCGACAGATGTACGGAAGTGCCAATCTCGACCAAGGGTCATTTGCCACGCATGCTGTGTGGCGCGAGTCGTTCTTGTTCAAAATCCCTGATGGAATTTCCAACGAGGACTCCGCGCCGCTGATGTGTGGTGGTTCGACGGTGTGGAATGCATTGCATGTGGGTGGTGTTAAGCCGACCTCAAGGGTTGGTATTGTTGGCATTGGTGGGCTGGGACACTTGGCTATTCAGTTTGCGGCGAAGATGGGCTGCGATGTTGTTGTCTTCTCGGGCAGTGATAATAAGAGAGAGGAGGCGCTGCAACTTGGCGCAAAGGAATTTTACGCCACCAAGGGCGCGAAGGAGCTCAAGATTGGGAAGCCATTGGACAATCTGATTGTTAGCACGAGTAGCCAGCCGGACTGGAAGCTCTATGTTAATGTTCTTGCTCCTGGAGCGGTTATTTCGCCGTTGTCGGTGGATAACGAAGATTTCAAGTTCCCGTATATGGGTCTTTTGGCGAACGGGTTGCGTGTGCAAGGCTCTATTGTTGCAGCCAGGCAGGTGCATAGGGATATGCTCGATTTTGCGGCGCTTCACGGTGTGAAGCCTATTTTGATGAAGTATCCTCTGAGCGTGGATGGCGTGAACGATGCCATAAATACACTGGAGGGCGGAAAGATGAGATACCGTGGGGTTCTGGTTGTGGAGTAGATGCTCACCGAAGGTTGTTTGGTGTTGGTGGTGGCGTGGGGGTAGTGGTCACTGTATTCGAAATGGCGTTTATTTGGAAGTCTATTGGGTATCTGTAATTACTGCTATGGAAATATGGTGCCGAGATTTGTCGAATTTTACATTTGGGTTTCATGAGCATTGGCAGCCTCCCGAGTTCGAAATCAAAGCCACGTTCACCGCAGCAAAACTGAAAGGGTCAGCATGCTCATGTCTTGATAAGCGATGAGGTGTTGATGCTATTTAGGGGAAATAGGAAAAGTAACAACTCACGCAGTAGCCGCGGCAAAGATCTCAACCCGTCGAGCCCTGACCATCAAGCCCAGTGCCAGGGAAAAGGCAATGTTATACAGCATGATAGTGACCATCCTGATAGCGGTATTCTTTATGAAATATAATACTATCATTGACGATGCAGGCAGCACCGCCGCTATGATGACACTGAAGAAGTGGGTGCACGCCTTGATCTTCTTGTCACTATACTGCCAGGCGCCATTTCCATTGCTCTGTTTCGATAGTAATAAGCTCTCTGATGGAAGACATTACCCAAGAAGAGACCTTACTTCATATTTCTCACCCCAGCGCTTATGAAACCAAGGAACGACTCGATTGAAGATCAGCCGAGTCATATTATCGACACCTTCATGTCTGCTAAAAAGGGCGATCATGTCACCATCGTTCCGTTCGTGGTAGACGTCCATCTCGGCAGCCGTTTCGAAGAACATATTTCCCCCTTCAGGCCGGTCAAGCCACTCTCGAAGCACACTCAGGTCACACTTATCTGGCGTGCTGAGACGCATGAGCTCCCGTTGTTGAATGATAGCATGGTCTACTCGGTCAGACCAGGATTTTCCCAATTACCACAAGTGAGTGGTGAAAACTAACTAAACTTGTCCATCAAATCCCGCGCTTCTTGAAATTTCGACCACTGCGTAGGATTTCCCTCTTTTAGGTCCCGTACGGAGAAGGGATACAGCTGCTTCTTCTCGTCCTGTGAGTCCTTGTCATCCTGAATGAGAAAGTCGAGCTCCTCTTCGAGGTTCGCTATCTCTGCTTGGTAATAGAGGATACTTTTGATGTTAAGCTTTGTGAAACGTCGGAAAATCGCTAGGCCCGGGTCGGCTTCTATGAACGCGGCGAGTTTGTCGTATCCTTCAACGGGACGGAGGCTAGCGGTTGACATTGTCCTTGCTTATTATGTTTCTCATACGTAAGTTTGCTATCATATTTAGTGGAGATCAATCTGAAGGAGACTCAAAGTGATATCTACTTATATGAATCTGCTCATCTCGCAGGGCCTCGACCTTCTCAGCCTAGTGTACAAACATCAACGAGCCCCCATGTCCCGTGTGGCTGTGTCTCGTCTACCCCTCATCCCACGGCCTTCCGGAAGCCTTAGAATATGACTAGAAGCTAGTTCTATGCAGAGTGCGAAGGGAAGGCAGACTCGCAAATGACACCATCTCCTCGGGTAATATTTGGCTTCCGTCACCAGGCTTTTCACGTAACATACGAGGCTTTCTGCCTCCCTTCTGGGCTATCCTTGCAATAATATGGTGCATAGTCATGTTGTTATCTAGGTACCGTCTGGTGAGCATGGCATATGACGTGAGCCCTCCTCCCTTGGTATGCTGATGACACTCGCAGCCCTTTAGCAATCCCAATAAGGCTAAATGAGGGCGACAGCCTGAGATGCTCCAGCGAGGCAATATTTGAGTTTCGTCCCTGTAATACGTTGTGATTCATGTGTTCTGATGTGCGCACTAGAAGTGTGGTAGAAAGTTGCATTTACGGACCCCGCATGAGTGACTTGTTCTTCTATGACTGGGTCATTCACATGGTAGTCGGTCTTACATTGACAAGCCATTTAACGCATAGGGCAGCCCTGCAGGCTGGCCAGCACACTCTCTACTATTAAGCTCTGGAATACGTAGGTAGCAACACTGCCAGGTAGAAAAGTTTGATTTCGAACCAATCAGCCCGTCCCTGTGTTCTCCAACATATTGTATGAGATAGAGCCAGTCTTTTATCCCAGAAATCGTACATACAGTAAACGCCAGCAAGTAAAAAACAGATCCATTCTATGGGTACATTAGTGTAGTCGCTATGTCTGTTTCAAATCATCGAGTCGTGTGGCAACCATAGGATCCACAGAGGAAAGATCAATAGCCCGACATGAAGCAGTGCCGAGGATAACATCAAAACTGGTACCTCTAACGACGTAGAATTCGGCACAATATGGCGTTTCGTAGCCAACAATAGTCCATGTTGCTTGTACTTTACCCAGGGGCGTCAATTCCCCGCGAGTGGTAAGTTGGGTTGGTGGGCCATCATATGGGTCCATGCGGACATTCATTCTTTCGAAGACATCGTGGTCCATGAAATTAGCTTCTGTTTCAAAGTCCACGACCATGCGTCGCCTCAATTGCTTGTCGAAAGTGACTAAGAGAATGTCGTAGATAAAATCACATTTCAAAAGACCCTCCTGATCATCGCGCTTCCTTGGATTAGTAGCAGGCACGGTCTGATTAGCACCCGTTAGTCTCTCACACAATTCGGTGTGCCGGAAGCCCTCGCGGAATTCATGCGACACCTCCTTCTTGGCTGGCTCATCCAAAGGCATTTGAGAGTGTTTGACGTCCGCTATTCCCCAATATTCAGGCGAAAGTGGGCGCTTTTCTGACGGGTAGTAATCCCGAGGCGAAGGTAGAGAGGGTTTCTGCTGCGTGTGCGTTTGGTTGAACCAGAAGGGAAAGAGAAACAAGTGTTTGGTTCCCTTCAGCGCGATCCGGAGGGCCTACTTCGCACTTTAGCACCAAGTAAATTTCATATGAAGCCAGAGAGCATACATGGCTTTTTATAGTTCCACTTTGATTGTGGCCATGGCCCAAGGCCTTTTTGTAGGTTTTGTCATTTTTCCTCGATTTGCCACGCTCGCGTGGTGCCGTCGGTCTCGGAGCTGAAAGCCGGTCAATTCCTTGTCCGTGTTGCATGTTGCGGATATTGCAATGCAGAACGACGGTTAACAGAGTAGCACTCACATGGGTATGTTCCGGGCATGGCGATGTCTGTCATGGAATTCTAAGTCTATACAGAGGTTGGCTAAGAATCTGGAGCCATTACGGGCGGTCGCGCTTGCGATTGCCCGGGTGCGCCGGCAGTTATCAATCCTGGGCCTCGCTAGAAGGGCGGGGTTTGCCATGCGATTAAGTCAGGAAGGGCTGGAAATGAGAACAAGTTTAGCTTGTGGCACAGGCACAACCGCTCTATCCCTCGCGCCTGACCTTATGTGACAGTAGGTCCAAGAATTACTGGCTGGTCGGGTATTCCTGGCCTTTTTGGAATACGAAATGGAAGCACTGGAAATCATGCCGTGTTTGCAGCTCAGCCCACCTAAGAACATCGCTCTGGCCCTGCAATGTGCCTTGTCCAATCACTTTCATATTGTGCGCTGCGGCTTTGCACTCTTCTCCTTTGCATGAGCAGAACTAGAGGATTGCCTTCCCTGCAATACCGCATTAGCGTGGGGCCAACCTCTTGTAAGGTGGGCTTCAGCCGATCGTCAGACGCCCCAGAGTGGCATTTGCTCTGTTAAAAGTACATAAAGAGCGCAATCTGCTCAAGGCTACTCAATTCTTTGAACAGGGCTTGACAGTCCCTGGACCCCAGAAATTTTTTCCTTGCGCCACCTTCCAACACTCCCCCGTGGCGAGGCAGTGATGTATACTTGTTTTTTAATACCCATCTGGGTGCCTTTCCATCACTGGTTTGTATCACTTTCGCTAACCCCAACTTCCTCTCGTGATCGACTCTCCTGACTGCTAGTTCCCTGTCTCAATCCGAGAAGCCTCCGAGAATTTTCTTTTTACCAGCGGTGAGTAGCGCTGACTGTGCGGAACATCAGCCGGCACACGACGGCCTGAACACCCATTCCGGCGAATGGCATAGATTGGAGGCTCGACTATTTATGCAGGTGCCACCTGATATGTCTCATTTTGTCGTCGTGCAGCGGGCTGGTGTGAGGGGATTGGATCCTACAATGCTAAGTACGACCGATCGTCCCGGAAGGACAAATCAAGTCCGTGTTAATCTCCCCGCTCCAATCCTTCGCCCAGAGTCCTTCGCTGTTGGAGGAGCACGCAGCAGCCCCCCTTCTCAGTCATTCTGCGTAAGGGTGATCTCATACATGTGACACATTGTTATCGAGTTTCAGAGAGCAGTTATTCATATCCAACAGATTCATCAGCTCAAATGCATACAGATGTAGCCTATATGCCGCCTCTGCGTCATTCTCACAAACCTGGCGATAATCCCGGCACACTTAGTCTTGCAAGTAGCGCGCTTCACAAGTCCGCCTTGTCGCCAATCCAAGCCCAATCTGTTATCTACACTGGGAAGCCTGCTTTTTCTGCTGTTCACGCAACTGTTGGTTCTTCTTCGCCAAAGCTTCCTCTTTCTCGCGCTTCTTTTTCTCCTGGGCTGCCTTATCATCTAGAACAGTGCTCAGTTTGCATCACTTCTTCGTTGGCTAGAAAGATAAAACGATAGACTCACTTGCACTCTGCGATGCTAGCTGGGTTACAGCAACTGGGAGGGCATTCTCATCGCTGGACCGTCCAACATTGCACTGAGTCCCTAAAATCGCATCATACTGGGTATCAAAGCGCGCTTCATCGTCGTTCATGGAAACGTAGAAATTTTGTCTTGACAGTTTTGTTTCACTCTTCTTCCAAATACTCAGCCGGATTACATCGCGCACTGTGTATGAAACACCATCTGAATCGTAGACTGTTTTGGATATCTCATTGCGCTGCAATTGAATCTCTCCCAGCTCCTGGAGCCCTCTTTGCGTGAGGATGTTGACGTCTAATCGCTCAGAGACAGCGGCCTTGAGGTGGACGGTTTTCTCGTCTGACCTGAGGCAGCGAATTTCTATGGTCTTGGGTCCTGTCTGAGAAATAGTAACTGGTAAGCGCCTGAATTACAGATGCAAATAGACAGGTAAGAAATGAGGGTCCAGAAGCCCAGTGTTAAGGTACCAAACGTACCATGGCTTCGCGTTGGGTGCACTTGCTTGCGCTGTTATGGCTCGGTCGGTTCACTCCAGAGGGAGCGTCAGCTTCAAGCTGCTGTCTGTGGATGGCCTCACACAGAGAACGCCGCCACGTTCATATAGACCAGACATTATCTGGACCACCCAAGAGCCGCAGCTTCGACGGACTGACTGACTGACTATCCACGCGCAACCCCTCGTAGGTGGGATATGCAACTGCATCATCCACCATCAATCCGTACTCCGTAGATCGCATGCACTCCTATTTTCTTCTTCCTTTACCCCTATCCTTTGTTTGTTACGCGAGGCTGCATATCTTTCTCTTCCGCTTTTTCTATCACATTTTCCATGGACCAAGCAGCGGAGCCCTTGTCATAGTATACATTCAGCTCGCGATAATTCGGCATGTCGTGCAGATTGGGCATTAACAAAGACCCGGCTGGGTATTCATGCCACTAGCACAAACCAACCCCTCACGATCATTGGCGACGATATGTTTCCTTTGCATGAAAGGATCGTTGCCGATGGCAGTGCGGGGATGTGCGACCGGAAGGAAACGAGAAATAGCTGCAGACATTCATACTACAAGCCAACACGGAAGTGCCACACAGACAAAATGGAAATAAGTACGTAGTTGAGGATAACATGTCCAGAGTAAGTAATAAATTTGAAAGTGTCACCGCTGGCGACACACAGTGCTCCCACGTATCGTTAATCAAACAAATATCCCGCGAATCAACTACTGAAACACGCCCTTGCCTTGTCCAATGCTCTCCCAACCAGCCATGATCGATTCCCTTTCCACAAAAACGCCGCCCAAGGTAACTAACTAGGTTCAAGACAAATCATGAATGCGCCTCAATTGGACATGTACAACGTAGACAATCATAAGTTAGGATACACCCCGTCACAAGAATATGTCGGTCATTGACTGGTCGGAACCTTGCTGTGTCTGTGCAAAGCTGGGCAGCACCTGCCCCAAAGTATATGTGTGATGCAATACCCGCAGCTGCCCTTTCGGGTATCACATCAATCGTAAAGTAGGTATAAGAGTGCGTAGAGTTCCCCAATGGTGGGATGAGCTTGGTGTGCATCCACGATGGGTCAAAGTATCGTCATGCTCAAACATGACATGGATCATATTCACGAGCGGGACATCCGAATCGTCGTACGGCGTTCAAGGCCAGGTCCAGATTTGAGGATCTCCAGTTTCTTGATGTCCTTCCTTCCCAAGATGGCATTATAGTTCTTCATATCCACAACCAGGAAGTCACTAGTAAATGTCTTTTCACGTTGTGCAAAATGCCATGAGACGCCCTTCGCGATGCCAAACGGCTTGATTCTGTCCTTGCCGGTTTTGGTCTGCAATGGGACGAGTTCCTGATCGCAAGGCTCCATCATCAATGCCAACTCCTGCTGCAACTCAACATCCATCAAATTGGCTGATGCTTGTGTATCCAGTGCCATCAATGCCGAAACCTTGGTTGCAGGGTTGCTGCCAACCATGAATACCTCCTCGCTATACTCGCTGTTCGTTGAAACTGGGGAGAGGTTCACCTGGGAGATGCGGTCCAGAGACGTCGCTCGGATATATTCATCATCACCAGGTAGCCTGAACTCGGTTTGCGGGTCTGATGGGGTTGTCTGATCGGTGCTAATGCCTGCGCTGGCTAGGGTGGATAGTCCAGGAGACACTGCTGCGCTTATCCTGCTACAAGACGAAGCGGAATCGGAGTTGCGACCGTCAGTTCTCCGGCTGAAAGTCTCAAATCTGTATGAATCGGGGTTGTCGTACGTTGGGATGTCTGAGTGATCGTTCTGGTTGTCCATTGAGGGACGATATAGCCGTACATCATTGTTTCGGTTCGACTCGTGAAGCTGTGGCCGTAGGTTCACCGTGGGCCCACGGCCGTTCATAGGCAGCCTTGCGTGGGACCCCACGACAACGAGCTCATGGTTGGTTTGCTGGTTGCTCATCTTCACTTTATCTTCTGACCTTTGTTGGTGATCGAATATTTTTCGGGGGAGGAAAAGGGAGAGTATGCGCTTCGCGGATCGAAGCAAGCCGCGAGTTCGTGAGGGCTTACCGGTGTCACTGGAGGTGTCTGAAGCAGGAACCGTGGTCAGTCGTGAGAAGGTTCCATATCATTACTGTGATTCAACCGATACTCACGACCTTCAGGTAGAGATATAGCCAAAGTATTTGTCATTATGGATGTGGAATGCAAGGCCGTTGACTTGACAGCCTACTCCGCGTCGCTCTCTCCGATGACGTACCCAACCAGATAGCTCCAGACGATGAGGAGCAGGGGTGTGGGAGTCTTTCAACAAGAGCTACGGACCTGGATACCAGTCGCGATAGTGCTGCCAGCTGCAGAAAAGCATGGAGGTTCTGGGAGAAATGCCACCGCGAAGAGAGGCGGAGGAGGCAAGAAAGCTTTTTGGCAACACGTCTGAGCAATCCCTTGGGGCTTTTTCCTCACAGGAACATTAATTGACAGTGCAAGGGTACCTTTAGTCATCCAGAGTGCCTGGGTAGGCTTGATTGGGCACAGATCAGACCTCTAATGGTAGCCCATATGGGAGGGACCCTGGCCAGCTCACGAATGAGAATAAGGGTCGGTGTCAGGGAAGGATGTGTTGCCAATGAAAAGGTAAAATGATCAGCTTCGCCGATGTAACCAGGGAAGCGGCACTTGACTGCAAGAGCCGCCGCTTGTATGCTCAACCCAAGTCCTCTGAGGCCAGGCTAGTGAGCCCCGGGCTGGTGGCATCGGCGGGGAATGAGATGGGTTGTGGCTACTGTTTGATCCTTCGCCATGGTCACTCAAGAAAACCTCTACGTCATGATACCAGATCGCGTTCTTCACTACGGAGTAGTCAATGCCGCCGACAAATATGTGGGTCCACAGAGTGGTCTCTTCTTTCGCTAGAGTTCTGACTTGTGCGATTGTCGATTCTGTAGACAAGCATGACGAGCAACAGTTCCCACCGGGTCGCAATGTGCATACATTAGCTCCCGGACTCCAGTCACAAATACAATTTTTAGTGAACCTCTTTATTGTATTGCACTGCCTCTAATCACAGCCTCATACGGGCGGAGTCTTCACTTGCCAAGCAGCTGTCAGGGTCTTTCTCTTCTCCCTGCGATGATCATGAAGTTGTGCCCGGGGCACTCTGCCGCCAAAGGCGGAGTCGAGGAGGGGGGCAAAGAGCCAAGGCTGTCCTGCGTTGTCACGAATTGCTTTTTCTGTCCTTTCCCCTCGCGAGTCCTAACCCATTCCTATTTGCTTCTAATCTCATCATTTCTGACAAGGCTCTTGTTTTGCGGTGTTTCTGCTGTCAGATTCATCTTCCAGTCGTCGTGTATTGCTCTGGGTTTGGCAGTGAGTGCCCCGAACTTTGACATGGAATCCCACATTGATAGAGTTTGTGGGGCTTTTTACTTCAGACGTGCAATGCATGCCATGCCATCTTCTGGAAATATTCCCCCTCGGGGGATATCACATTTACTTTGTTTTGCAGCGTCACACAGCCGCTTTTGCTCCTTTGTGTCTACTAAGGGACAGCTAAGCTAGGAGAGATAACAGCTATCTCTATCCGCCATAGGATGAAGCTAGTCGGATGGGCGTAGGTTTTGTCTTTGATCTTTGTGCTTATTGGTCTCTACACTATCTAACCTTTCTCGCCACTTCAACCGTGCAATAAACAACAAGCTGTTATCATGTGTGTCAGACAAGAGTCCCTCCAAACTGAGCTACACAGTACAACGAGTGCGGTAAACGCAGTGAGAGTGAAAAGTAGGAGCAGAGTATTCCGCCCTGTCTATGAAGGATCCGAGACGATGGAATGGAAGCCCAAGGGCTGTGACAACTCTGCAGCAGGTGGGTTGGTTGCCTCAGCAGTCCCAGTGTCAGTCACACGGGGGGAGGAGGGCACATGCACGCCACCGATTTCGGACATTGGCCCGGGTACGGGGTTAGCTGTCACAGCTGACAGACTGGCTGGCGGATAGTAGAGTTAATGATCTGCAGGTAGCTGACTGATTTGGGAGAGGAGAGCAGGTCGGAGTACTCCGAAAGTACATTGTTGAACCCATTGTTCATAACAATTAAACATTTGCATTCCGCAGCACAAAGCCTTTGATTTTGTTTCGGTTTGGTCTGGTCCGTTAGGTTGTGGTCTGGTCTAATCTGTTTCGGGCGAGCTCGGATGCACTCAATTTGGATTGACACCTCTGATTCGCCAGAATATTGATTGACTGATTGGCTGATTGCATCGGTTCTGACTCGCCATATCGGGAATAGTTACTTGAGTTACTAGGGTTGACTGACTTAGCTAGAACGTTTGATTAGTTATCTAGAGTACCTACATTGGGAATGGCCCATATTATGGCCCCGGGCCTACTTTAGTCCAGCCTGCGGGCGTGCCTGGATCATAATGACAAAGAAAGCCAAAAGAAGACTTTGTATTTACTAAGACTTTTAGATCTGAAGAAAAGGAGAAATTAACTCAGTATCTATATCCATAAAATTTAGTTGCCTCATATATTTCAATATCTGATTATTTGCATCATACAATAGTCTAATTGGATGGAATCTATTTATAACACAGGCAAGATCTGAAAAAAGGTCTTATACATCTCAATATCTTAGAGCAGTACTTCTCTTCCGAGGTTGAGAAGAGAAGAATATCTTCTTATTTTATTACCCTTATTGATTATATTTCGGGTCCACTTTCTCCAATATTCTTGATCCGAAAGTCCTGAGCTCGGAAATCCCTCACATAGCGGACATATTCTCGTCCTCTTGATTTGAGAATTGGTTCTAACTCCTCTAGCTGAGCCTTCGACCCATCTTGCACTTCCTGGTGCCATTAAAGCTCGCAGTTATTACTTTCGTATTGCGTTTCTCTGGCAATGCTTCTTTCTATACACGAACTCATCCCTTGAACATGTCGTTGGACCATGCTAAGTGGGAGCTCCCTGGAGACAGCCCAAGCCAACAAGTGCCATTAGTACTCCTCCTAGCTGCGGCTTTTCTCGGGCTTCTTTCAGTGAACTATCGCCAACGCATGCGAACTTGTAATCAAGTAAAATCAATAGATGACAGGGCGTGTATACCCACGCGTATGTCTTCGCAACACTGATGGCGACTCAAACACCCAATCCTAGATTGAATTCATCACTCTCACGCCAGCATTTCAGGGTCCTTTCTATCTTCGTCTACCATCGGCTGGCCAAGATCTATGTGATTTCTATGTTTCCTATGAAGGACTTTAGTCCACTGAAGTACGGTTTTCTCAACTTAACAGTCGGATTGCTACTTTCATACCTGAAAGTAGCCAATGTGCTCACAATTCTGCGTCAACATACGAAAACCCTTCCTTACTCACGTCGCACTCCAACGTGCTCAATGTGGTCGAAGGCCTTCACTTCAATTTTACTGTATAGTACTGCCTCATATATATGCTTTTATCTGCCTACCTACTTGATCTATTTGGCTGGTACTTGGGGTGAGGGGTTGGAGGTGTCAGAAATGGTGCAGTTCATCAGTCTTCTGGCCACTATCATGTTGATTTTTTTGGGGATGGTAGTCCCGACATATGCAATTTTTATTCGAGTCACTGCCTCTGCGCAAAAGGGTGATTAGATGACTATCAGAGGCGCTTGGCAAGGGTTCCAGTGGTCATCTAAGGTACACTTTTTCAAATTACTTGGCGAGGTTCTATTCCTGGGAGCAGGTGTCACCGTCGTTATGGTTGTGTCTGTTCTTGCTTTGTGTCATCCTACTGTGCATGATGATGTTTTTCAGCTTTTTGTTGGATACTTTGGGTAGTCTAGTATCGTGAGGAGATATGGTATGCTATAGAGACCGAAATATCTAAATTCTTTCTTCCTATTGTGCTTATGATAGATCCAAAGTAGATACCAATGTCCAAATGCAGATTTACCTCTCAAATTCGCTCTTCGTTACTAGGCTATGTCGGTTAGGGCAGTAAAAGCTACCTACGGTGCGCTGCTTTCTCGTACATAATCAGAACACATAAGGCGATCGTAATAGGAAAGGAAATGAGGAAAAGTCGTAGCCACGGCGTTTATCTGGATTATCAAATGGGATTAGTTACCCGGCCTTAACAGCCAGATTCGATATCCCGGAAGTACCACAGATCACGGGAGCGGGAATGGCTGGTGCTATTACTATCGTGGGAAGAAAGGAACAGCAGACCAATCATAGTCTTGGTGAAAGTTGTTAGATGTCATTGGTTTGGCTGCTACTCCTTTCTCTACCCTGGAGTAGCCAGGGGCTCGCCTCCAAGTACCTGGGGAAACTTACCTTTCAGTGCTACGATCACTCTATGTCTCGGAAAGTGGAGAGGTTTACTAAGTACTTTGTCGAGATTATCATTGGGTGGAAATGTCAAGCCTAGAAGGACGGACCACATGCAAGCCACGTCAGTTTCGGAGACTAGAGCGTTAGTTAGTTTTTTGATTAGTGGAGGGATCGCGAATTAAACAATTCCAATGTTCTTGAGTTTTACCCGAGTCGAGGCCATTGGAGTCTAGTTGCTTACTTACTTAGTTTAGAATGGACTATTCCGTCTTGATGCTAGATAGTCTAGTCTGAGTTATGTTGTGCTTGGTGAATTAGTGTGGTGGTTAGATTAGATTGCGAGCGAGCCCCTATTCCGTTCATGGTGGGATGTCCGGTGTCGCCGCTGCATGCTTGGCTTAGGTTCTTCCGTGCTTACGGGGACACTGCTCGTGCTTGTGCTGTTGCTTGTTGCTTGTAGCTTGTTGCTTGTAGCTTGTTGCTGCTACTGTTGCTTGTCTTTCTTGTACTGCATGACATTAAGCTTTAAGATAAGAAAGATAAAAATGTATCTTGTACGAAGAGTCATTAAGTCATCACGCGAGCTAGTTACAAAGTAAAAGACTTGGGGTAATAATGTACATGAAATCCAAACCAAATCCACAGATTCAATCCAGTATAATTGCAGCTCTCTGATTCACCATCAAAACAAAGGGCAATATATATCGAACGTTGTCAAAAGCAGAAGGACAAGGAAAAAGACAAAAGAAGGGTATAATCATGACTCCACCTCCTCACTAACCACCCACGTCCTCACCTCCCGAATAATCCCTGCCTGACTGGACTGACTATCATCATCCGACAATCTCGCTGCCGACACAGTCGTGATATTCCCCTGTCCAGCCCCCATGCCCATCAACTCGTGCTCGCCGCTGCGTGTGAATTTGCTCTCCGTGGGATTGGCCGACCGTGTCGTCGACCATTTCGATCGGTTATTTGTCGATCGGTAGTCCACGCCTTGGATCCGGAGGCCGTTCGATTTGAGCATGTTCAAGAAGGGTTTAAGCTGCGCCCAGCAGGCTGTCACGATGCTGAGGCATTGAATCGTTTCCACGCTGATGGTTACACCCCAGGTGGCGAATGAAGGGTCGTGTGTTGCGTAGTTCTGAGAGACTAGGATGAGTTCCACGATGCTGACTAGGATTACTCTATTTGGAGAAGTGGTTTGGTTAGTTGGTAGTTCGGTCGGATGATAGGAGAATTAGACTGACAGGACTCGAGATAGAAAAATACTAGCGAACACGAACTTGCGTTTCCAGGAGGTTTGAATGCGCGCGATTAGGTAAAGCGCTTGTGAGGTGATCATGGTGTCGGTTACAATGTTCATAATTCCCGTAAAGTAGTGCCATGCTATCTGTTGGTCTGGTTAACCTTGTCGTGTATATCTTCGGGGTACCGTAAAGTAGTGGAATAGTACCAGGTTCATGCATTTCCCCGTGTAGTAATTCCAAGTCTGCGGTACGCTGCATTGAAAGGAGGTTCCCAGTAAACATACCACGGCCATCACAGTCACCGATATTTGCACCAAGTTGGCGACACGGTGGTCTTTGGCCGTCGGCGTCAGGTTGCGGATGAAGCATGAAAGGGAGATTTTCGAGAAATAGAGACTCGGGATGTAGAGGAGAGCGGCGGCGTATTGCGACTGGAATGATACCGATTGTTCTCAGTGAGGATCCCGGAGGATGGCGGCGACCGCAGAAAGGCATATTGCACACTGGTGCAGGTGTAGCTCATACCTTCATCATGTTGTCGAAGCGCTCCGGGGTAAGCGTAGAGTAGTGGTAGCCATATCCGTTTGCGACGGCCATCGATACAGCGATGGATTGGCCGATACAAAAGATCTGTCGCGCCCCATCCAGAGCAAGTAGTTAGTCTGCTGGAGCCTTTGTGAGGGCCTAGGCGGCAGATCGACATACCAGCGATACAACTATAAGATAGTCATCGTTTGTGAGCGTGCGGAACGAACCGTACTTGGTCCCCAGCCGGAAGATGACGCTCAGCGAAGCAGTCACGAGCAGGAACCATGTCGATACATTGACGGCCGGATCTTTGGTGTCTCCAGTGAACCGTCCCATGGAGGGCAATCAGAGTGCTGACGCTGATTCTCGGCGGGAATCATGTCACGCAACGATCTGGAACTGATGGAGATAATAAGAGTCGGCTGATGGCGCTGGGCCAGGGCTGCGAGACCGGGCACGATCTGGAGTAAATAATAATACGGAGTACCGGTGCCGAGAAATCGATCGATGCAGGGCCTGTGACGGAGGTAGATTATTCTCACCCGGAAGCACCAGGGAAGGGGAAGGACCCGGGCAGTCATTCTGGTGTGGGCAGAGAGAGGGTTCTTGGAAAACGCCCCCTCCCTCCTGAGGGAGGATGGGAAATCGCATGGCCAGCTGGGATCCGGATCCTGGTGTGTTCATTTGTCGACCGAGCGGCCGACATCAATTGGAGAAAGGCCAATAGACTTTGGCTACGCGCAGGGAAAATCGGACCAGGATGGTGGTTGATTGCATGGAAGCCGACGGTGAGACGACGGCGGGGGACAACCCTGGTCGGGTTTAATTTACTCTGGGCTGGCCAGTTCTCATTCGTATCTTGGCCCGGCCTTCGACCGACGGATTAATTGTCTCCCTTCCAAAAATTATTCTCGATATTAATGTCTGTTATTAGTCCTCGCTCCGACCACGGTCCCGTCTCCCACTGATTCTAAATCGAACAAATGAGCCTAATTTCTCTTATCCGACCTGCCTTGTCTTGTCTCCCGCTCAAGCGATTCGCGGTACCACATCAGCACTAGATCCTTGGATCGATCCAACACACGCGGCCAGTCAAAATGAACTGCGCAGTGCAAGTGCTCAAGGGGATCCTCTTTGATGTGTTGAGCTGTTTCTATTTTCCGATCGCCAACGTGGCGTCCATGTCCATAAGCATAGGACTTTGGGGCAGAAAGCCACAAGCATTCACGGGAGGGGAGTTAGAATGCTGGCCGGCCTAACTCGATCAAACTAGAATATCATGCGGTCGCAGAGGCGAGTCCCGCCGGAAGAATTGATAGCTGAGTCCGAGTCGGGCCCACCAGTCACAATTACAATTTGCCAGTCAAGATTGATTCTGGCTCATTAACTAACAAGTTAACAAGACCGGTGCATGCAAGGTGTCTGCGCCGGGCGGGGACTGGGGCCTGCCATCCCCCCGTTCTCTAGTCTAGCTTCTAACGCTAGATTAGCAACCCCCATTAGATACAAAGAAGTCTAGATACCGTTAGACCGGGGGTGGTCCCGATGGCCTCCACTTGCCACACACTGACCCTAGTACCCACAAGGTCCTATCGGTGGTTACATCTCCCCCATCGGGCCTGACCTGACCCGCCTCCAAGAAAGCTTACTGCGTGCTGCGTTCAGCTTCTGTTATTGTTCAGGGTCGTCGTTGGTTACCCCTGGATTCATATAACCTTCCTACTCCGGCTGGTGAGCCCGGCGCCCTCCGTACGTGTACTATGTTAGGTTATGTATGGACGCCCCGGTGCATGCTAAGCAACGACACTAGACACGGTAGTGGCGTTAGTATGCTGCATCTCGACTAACGGCCTTAATTTCTGCTGCATCTCGCTTCTTGACGTTGCAGTGGACTAGGTGGCCAGTTGTCTGTTATATTAATCGGTCGCTCCCTGGACACCGCGCTGCGTCTGCAACTCTCCGCCCTCACGCCGGTCGTGGTCTCTGCAATTGAGTTTTCACCATGGCGTCCTACGAATTGAAGAACCGAGCCAGCTCGGCCAACCGAGAGGTAAGCGGGTCCGACTCGGGAGCGCGTGATGATTTGGCTCTTGCACGATTGGGCAAGAAGGCTGTCCTGAAGGTATGTCCCAGCTTTTCAATACTATGTTGTGGATTTGGAGAAACTAATGCTTGCCTTGTGCTCTTGCAGCGGAACTTTGGTATTCTCTCAATTATCGGCCTCAGTTGTACCATTCTCGGCACCTGGGAGGGTATTCTATCGTAAGGCCATCTATGGTTGTGAGAGTCTGGAACAATTGCAACTAACAGAGACCAGGACGTTTACTATTCCCCTCGAAAAGTCGGTTATCCCACGTCCAGCCTATGATCGGACCATGAACGCAGCTGACTGAACAAACAGTGGTGGATCTGCCGGTGCTGTATACTCCTTTATCTTTGCATGGACGGGAACAGCCTGCTGTTTCGTTCTGCTGTCCGAAATGGCGTCCATGTAAGTTGAAGTCAGGATATCCATTCCCTGGTGGTATACTAACTAGCCAAGGGCGCCGACTTCCGGAGGCCAATATCACTGGTGTGCCATGCTTGCGCCTTACAAGCATATGAAATTCCTAAGTTACATCACAGGTGCGCTCTTTCATTTTGTTATTACAGCGACTGTGTAGCTTACTGACCATCACTGCAGGATGGTTGACTGTGATCGGATGGCAGGCCGCCTTTGCATCGTCGTCTTACATGGCTGGAACTGAGATTCTGGGTGCCATTATCTTGGGACGTAACAGCTTCAGCTCGCAGGCCTACCAGGGTACCCTTCTGATGTGGGCGGTTGTGGTCGTAGCTCTCCTTGTGAACATTATCGGAGGAAAGTTCCTGCCTCGCCTGGAAACCTTCATCCTCATGATTCACATTCTGGGATACTTTGGTGTGCTCATCCCCATGACATATATGTCCGACCACAAATCGACCGAGGCGGTCTTCAAGGACTTTACCAATGGCGGAAATCTCTACACCGATGGTATATCCTTTTTCGTCGGTATGACCGGTTGTGTGTTTGCCTTTGCAGGCGGTGATGCTGCCGTGCATGTAAGTTGTCCACCATGTACTGCAGAATGGTCAATATCTGACTTCTACAGATGGCCGAAGAAGTAAACCATGCCACGGTCGTCATTCCCCGTGCCATTCTCCTCAGTGTTGCCATCAACGGCACCTTGGGATTCACCATGCTGATCGCCACTCTCTTCTGCATGGGCAGTGTCGATGCGGCCCTTGACTCTCCTACGGGCTACCCCTTCATGGAAATCTTCCAGCAAGCAACCGGCTCGGTCGCAGGTGCATTGGGCTTGTCCTCCATCCTCGTTATTGTCGGTATCTGCGCCGCCTTGGCCATGTTGACTGCCACCTCTCGCCAGTTCTGGTCGTTCGCTCGCGACCGTGGTGTCCCTGGCTGGCGAGTCTGGAGCCACGTATGTTTCCATGTGCCTTGTATCGTACACATGAAGATAATTGCTAACAATGACACAGGTCTCCAACCGTACTTTCCTCCCCACTTACTCCATCCTCCTCACCATGACCATCTGCTGCCTGCTTGGTCTGATCAACATCGGCTCCGCCGTTGCCCTCAACGACGTCGTCTCCATGGCTGTCTCGGGTTTGTACTCCTCCTATCTGATCGTGGCGGTTCTTCTTCTCTGGCGCCGCTGCACCGGCGCCATCAGCAACCACAATGCCAGTGACGACACTGTGGTCAATGTCCCTGGCGCTAAGCTCATGTGGGGTCCGTTCCGTGTCCCGGGCATCTGGGGTATCTTGATCAACACTTATGCGGTGATTTACATCGTGATTGTCATCTTCTTCAGTTACTGGCCTACTGAACTGCCAGTGACGGTGACGAATATGAATTACAGTGTGGTGGGCACTATGGGTGTCGTCATTCTGGCTATCATTTATTATGTGTTGAGGGCTCGTCATGTCTACACGGGTCCTGTTATTGAGATCTCGTAAGGATGGGAGCCGGGCAGATGAGACAGGTAACAGGGGGAAGAGTGTGGCAAGCACAAGGGGCTGCGGTTGAGTGTGCTTTCGGTATTGACATTAATTCTCTGTTCGGGATTTTGCTGTTTAATTGGGCACTAGGCCACATGCATCAAAAGTTACATAGCATTTATTCCATATCTCGAAATACCATTTAGTATAATTTGCTGCAAGCTGGGATCCAATGCTGCCCAATAGAGCCCTGCTTCGGGCGGAAGGAAATACATATTCGCATGGTAGGATGCACACCCTGGTAGTGCTTCAATATTATCATCACTAGGGTCTGCAGTAACGATATTAGGCTGAATGTCCGTCTCCCCGACAATTTCCCGAAAACTATCAGAGGGGATACCCATGTGACTGAGTGTGTGTGTGTGTGAGCAGCATGTGCTACGCCGAGCTATATGGACTGGATGATAATGCAAAATAACAAGCAGCTCTTCAACAGCAAAGGGGCTGTGGTTTAGTGGTATAATGTTCCCTTAGCATGGGAGAGGTCCGGGGTTCGATTCCCCGCAGCTCCAGCTGTTCTTTTTTGTTTTTTGTTTTATCCCCCGCAGCAGTCCCACTCTTCATTCCATACAAGTGATAGACAGACAGCCTCCGCATTGTAACAACAATCCTCAATACTCTACAATGGGCCTGGAAGGATTTCGGAATTCCTGAACATAGCCCTAAGCAGTGGCCGCCCACTCACTATTTCTTCACCTACCAAGGTTTCTCTATAGGACGCTAACATAACATCATCGGATACAGTGCCTGGTCGCTTTTTCGCGGCAATGGCTATAGTCTGGCTAGAACGCGTTACACTGTCGCGGTATAACCCTGAGTATGTCTTTCTTATCTTCTGTAGAGTCTATATGTCCGGTCCCATGGAGGGGTAGGTAGCTATTTACACTCTACACCAGCGCCGCTGAAGTCATGACCCAGATCAGTTTCGGGGTATATGCAATTTGAATTTTGCAGTCCTCTGCAGTCAACGTCTTTGTACTGACATAAATCCATCCTCATTCATATCAAGATGCACTCAACTCTCAGATAATCCACCAATCTTGCAAGCATCATTATGGACACAGCCAGTGTAACAGACTTCATCCACGATGATTTCGACTTCATCATCATCGGCGGAGGCACCGCGGGCCTTGTCCTCGCTGCCCGTCTATCAGAAGACCCCAATGTTCGCGTTGGAGTCATCGAAGCCGGGGTCTCACGACTAGGTGATACGAAGGTAGACACACCTACCGGGATGGCCATGACCCTGAAAGATCCAGGATATGACTGGTGTTTTCAGACTTCTCCACAGGTACGCCTACACCACTTTATACCACAGACCAATTTATTGCCATAGCTCACAGGAAACAAAACACAGAGCGGCGTAAACAACAAAACCTACGCCACCCACCGCGGCAAAATGCTCGGCGGCTCGAGCGGCTTAAACTTCATGATGTCAGGCCGACCAACGGAAGAAGAAATAACCGACTGGGGCAAGACCACAGGAGTTAAAGGGTGGGAGTGGTCTGATCTACTTCCGTACTTCAAAAAGCATGAGAAGTTGGAGGTGGATCAGCCGAACATCACGCCTCGGGACACGGATATATGTCCGTTGGATCCTAATCTACATGGGACTGAGGGACCGATTCACAATTCATTTGGCACCTGGCATGCGCCGTTTGAGAAAGATCTCATACCTGCTCTTGATACCGTCTCTGGATTGCCACGACCAAAGAATCCGTATGCTGGGAATCACCTGGGTTTCTACCGCACGCTGTTCACCATCGATCGCACCGGCAAGCCAGTACGCAGCTACGCCGCGAGCGGATACCTAGCCCCGAGTTGCAATCGTTCGAATCTACGTGTCTTGACAGACGCGCTCGCATGCAAAATCACTCTCGGGACGAACGAGCACAGCGAGCGCCAGGCAACAGGAGTGCAATTCCTCCACCATGGGACGTCGTACACCATCCATCCACGCAAGGAAGTCATCCTCAGCGCCGGCGCTGTGCAGAGCTCACAGCTCCTAGAACTATCCGGGATAGGCGACCCGAACGTCCTCGGCCGAATCGGCATCCCGTGCATCGTTCCTAACATGGACGTGGGGAACAATCTCCAAGAGCAGGCTCTGTGCTCGGTAGTGTATGAACTCGCGCCGGGGTATACATCCGTCGACTCGCTACTACGGGATCATGCTATTTTCGAAGAACACCAGAGACTCTACGAGGAGGAACACACCGGCGCATTGTCCGGATCACTCAGCATAACGGGCTATACGCCCTACGCGACACAAGTCGAGCAGCAGGACCTCGAAAAGACAGTGTCGTGTTTCCTGGACCCCAAAAATGCATCAACCAAACAGGACACCGTTCTTCAGAACAAACAGCGTAAGATCATCGCAGCACGTATCCAGGACCCTACCTGTCCCTGTATCCAGTACATGTGCGCGCCTGAGAACTTCGATACCGCGCGCGCGGTCGATAACCTTGGGGCAGTCATGTCCGGTCCGCCGTCTGGGTTTAATGATTGTTACTCTATCACAATGAGCCAGATGCATCCTGTTTCTCGCGGGCGGGTGCACGTGGTGTCGGATGACCCGATGCAGGCTCCGGATATTTAGTCCCGGGCTGTTGGCTCATCCGGCTGATGTGGATGTGCTTGCTGCGGGGGTGGGGTTTGCGGATAGGGTGTTTCGGTCGGAGTTGGTTAGGGATAAGGTTGCGAGGAGGGTGAGGCCGGATCCTGGGGTGGATGTTGGTGTTAGGGAGCAGGTGAAGGAGTTTGTCAGGGAGAGTGCGGTTCCGTTTCAGCATTTGCTTGGGACTTGTGCGTTGGGGATGGTGGTGGATGAGAGGTTGAGGGTGAAGAGGGTTAAGGGGTTGAGGGTCGTTGATGCGAGTATTGTGCCTATGATGGTGAGTCCGTCGTTGGCGGCGGTGGTGTATGCTGTTTCTGAGAGGGCGGCGGATTTGGTGAAGGAGGATTATGGGTTGAAGTAATTGATTGGAGGGGGGTTGGTGTGTGAGTTGGATGGTTTGCGTGGGGATGTTATTCCTCTAATGTTCTTCGGCAGGCAAGTTCAGCTGGTTAGTTGGTGAACTTACTTGAGAGTGAAGTCTTTTTCTGAAGTTTCGTAGTACTCACTTGATGTTCTACTACTACGTGAGGTCCGTATCAGAGGTTGATATCAATTAAGTGACCAAATGGCAAACATTACTTATTAGAAATGGACCATATGCAGCCGCATAGCTTATCAGATAGTCATCATCATAGCACATTATGTACATCCCACGGACACTCAACTCACGTACTAAGCTCACTCCGAGGAGTCCCCATTACTTCAGTTATCGGTCGATGATTCGCCTCTTCTGGTATACCTTCCATGTCAAAAGACGGCGAAGGCAGTTCTGCGATCACAGTTTCCGTCCTGGAAATGCGTGGATCCCATGGAGGTTTGACCACTTCAACCATTCCAGAGGATGCGGGTTGATCTGAATTCGATGTCTCGTCCAAACCACCCCCCATTTGCGATCGGCGTCGATACAGAAAGCCTAAAGCCCCAGCAGTGGATATTGCCAGCACTCCTAACGGGACCCCGAGACCGATCCCAACTTTCTCTGCGACAGTAAGACCACTGCCGTTATCGGAGGTAGCTGGGATAGAGGATGCTGATGCTGCTGTTGTTTCGGCCGCCGCGGTGCTTGTAGCATGTGAAGAAGAAGTAGAGGTGGATGTTGCTGAAGTAGCACTAGAGGTAGTTTTCATTGACGTAGTGCTAGAAGTACTGCTAGATGTGCTGCTGGTCGGGTCGTACAAGTTATAAAACTCAGGTGGAGGATCATCTTCCTGACGCTTGCTCACGCCAATCTTGACACTTGTGAGTACTGGTGGGTTAAGAATACCGAACATGTCCAGTGAATCGAGCTCGAACGCGCAGCCAGACTCTCTATATTTGTCGCGGGTTGCGTTCCAGACATAGCTGTAGGGGTTTGTGACGTTTACTGTGATTCCATCAGCCAGGTCCAGTGGTGGCAGTTGTAGGTGTACCGACATAGCAAGGGAATCTTGGTGTTGCACACTTCATAGAGAGAAACACGCGATGTCACCACGTCCCAGGATACATTGACAAGGTCTCCCACGATGAACTGATATTCCGTTGCTGTTGGATAGGTAAAGCTCTCTGCTCGTACAAAGCATGTGCATTGAAGAGCGAGCAGAAGGCATACGAGATATGCGGTTCTGCTGGAATCTCGTTGAAGTTTCATGATAGAAGTGCGTTCATTCGGCCTGCATAGATGATAATCAAAAGAGCACCAATCCTCACCAGGGGGCCCCGATCTTTTGAGGGAGCTGTTATTTGAGTTAATTGGTGTCTCAGCCACCCCGGGTTGCTGTCCTGTTTTTATCCCGCCGAAAAGGCTATCCCTGTCAGTCACTGTGTTTACGTTACGCAGATAGGCCGGCTGGTCATGAGCAAGTGAATTTCGGCGGGGGTCTACCCATTGCCTGCCATGTGTTGACTTAGGCCACGAGGCTGGAAATAGGTTGTGGGCAGAGGTTTTGAGATAAGTGTTTGTTACTATGTCATCCTCCTAGCAACAAGAGGACAAGGTTACTTGGTGCGTTGATCATGCGATGCATCTGCGCCCCTGTGGCATAACTGGAATGGTCGGAATCGTGATGGCCCAACACGGGTGTTCTGGCAGTTGGATGTAGTGGTTTACCTTGATTTTGAGCTCGCCAGCATCTAATGTTGGGGTGTATTGTGGTCGTATGTTGAACTTCTCGCTCTGACTGGGGTCAAATGAACAATTACTTTTCCTTTTTAGAGAAGCTACCCGATGATCCGAATGTGCCATCGTTCCCTGGTCGATGTTGAAACAAGACGAGGCTGTTTGCACCATCTAGATACACTGATCGCTGATAACTGTTGTGCAAAGGCTGACACCATTGTAATTTTGCTTGTGTAGGCCATCACTGGCCTCTGGTCATTCCCGAGGTCTTAAGCGGTTGACATGAAATATTAGTTCGTGAATGCTCTGACCGGACCATTGGCAGTGTGGTGGCAGTGGAGAAGTTTTTGGATCTAGCGACAGCGAGGTACGGCATTTGGGGAGGGGTGCTCTGTACGATGTAGAAATGTGTCGCCTGGGCGGAAAATGGCATTGCAACATGGACAGACTGGGAACAGTCAACCGACGGTAAGTAGACATAGGCTAAGCGAATCGACAAGGACGAAAAAAGAAAAATACAAAATATGGAGCTGCGGGGAATCGAACCCCGGACCTCTCCCATGCTAAGGGAATATTATACCACTAAACCACAGCCCCTTTTCGTTGAAGAAGGCATGCAACTTTTGCTTTATGAGACAGCACTAGGCTTCATCTTCTCATGGCTCACCCATCATAGTAATCGTTTCTGGTGAATGGCCACCATAGCTGACCACAAGCTGTACTGCCAGTAAACTGGCCTTTATCTTTGCTATTAAATCGACTTTAGCATAAAATTTTTCTATTTCTGAGATCAGTTGATGACAGTGGCTTGATTTTAGCGTTGTCGTTCCATACCTGCTTTTACGTCGTCTCCGCTGGTAGTGATTATATATTCCCTACACAAGTTCTTATGGAAGTTTTATTTCTGGTGGAGTTAGCAGTATTTACTAGCATCACGGAACCATGAAATAAACACAGAATCGACGACAAGAAAATGCGATCAGTATAACTTTGCCACAGACAAATCCGACCAAATGTCACCTGTCATGCCATCCCAATTAGCAGACAGAGGGATAAAAGTCCGCGGGATCCGTGATTGGCAGTTATGCAAGGGATCGGGTACAGCTGCGCAACAAACAACAGCCCAAGCTGCACCAAAAAGTCACCTCGGTTAGCAATTAAAAATCGATGACTTTTAGCCGTGATTATAATGCATCTATTCTCCTACCTACCCACCGGCATTGCAAGCTTCCTGGGTATGTCTACTAGTGGCATAGGTCCGGGATATCCGACCACCATGGACAATGGCAGTGCAGTTCTGGCCCATCAACTTCCGCAGAAGATTGATATCCACCATCACTTCGTCCCCGATTTCTTTCGTCAGGGTACGTGGGCATACTTGCCCGGAATGGAGACCCCGCACTAATTAGTCTGACGCACATCCAGCCGTTGAAGATGCAGGCGGCGACCCGACGGGCCTGCCAGTCCCCGCATGGACCGTCGAGGACTCACTCCAGGACATGCAGGATAATGGTGTCCGAAAAGCCATACTGTCTCTGACCACACCAGGTGCAGTCATTACTGGCAACAACGACACGGCTCGGTCGCTAGCCCGAAGGGTCAATGAATATGCCGCCAACGTGCGCGACCAGTACCCCGAACGGTTCGGATTCTTCGCCGCGCTGCCTTCTCTTCTGGATGTACCCGGTACATTGGCTGAAATCGAGTACTCCCTCGACACACTCAAAGCCGACGGGGTCACCGTGTTCACCCGCTACGGCAATGGAAACAACTATCTAGGCCATGCTCAGTTCACTCCCATCTGGAAGGAACTGGATGATCGCAAAACCGTGGTTCATATCCATCCTACCATGCCTGAGGACACGAATTGGATTGATCCGATTATGCCGCCTCCCATGCTTGACTTCCCACAGGAGACTACACGGACTGCTGTGGATATGATTGTTACTAACGTCACGCAGCGGTTCCCGAACTGTCCCAAGATCCTTTCGCATGCGGGTGGGACGTTGCCGTATCTGATCTCGCGGCTGGCTGTAACTTCCCGAGACACGATGACCACACAGGGGCCTTATGGCAAGTCCTACTTCGAGTTTATGGAAGCACTGCGCTCGTTCTACTACGACCTTGCCCTTTCGAGTGCCCCGGCTGTCTTGAATCTTCTGCTGGATTTGATACCGCATGACCATATTATGTATGGTGAGTATATACATAGCTGGCATGTACTACTAGATGCTAAACAAGTACTAGGGTCCGATTACCCGAATGCTCCCCCGATCAAAGTAGCTGGATACCGGGAGAACCTGGATGCGTTCCACATGAATGAGGAGCTTCGGGATATGGTATATTTTGGAAACGCGCAGAAGCTCTTACCTAGAGCTTGAGTTCACTATGACAGGTTGATTACAGGAAGCTCAGGGGTGAGGGACTAGTATACCACAGATGGAACACTACCTGGACTTTCAACTTGATGCACTTCATTGAAGTAATAATGATTGGAAGAATTATACGAGCGAAGAGATACAAAAACAAAATAAAATATGCAATGACCGGCTTTGTATTCATCTCCAGGTACAGTCAGATATGCCAGAGTACCATAGAAAAGTAAGTTCGCTTGGGTGTCAGACAACGCATTCCAAACGTCTCACGTAAGAAATAAAGGCGATAGTGTCCATGTATCCACCCCTGTCCACTCCTAGGGTGCTTGAACGCCACCAGAAATCTACCTTCCCCATCTACTTATTGAAAAGCTAATACCGAAACACCTCCCCAACAAGCTCCTCACTCAACCTCCACAAAGCCTCCACACTCCCCAGATCACTCGCATACTCCGCAGCCTCACTAACCACACTATTCTGCATAAACACCGGCGCCAGAGCCTGCAACTCCGGATCGAGCGCCGCAATCAACGGCGTCGCCGCGATCTGAGTATACGTCTTGAACCGCGGCTCCTTGAAAACAAACTCCCTCCCGGTATTCCGTACTGCGACTGCAGAGATGCCAGCATAATCGTCCCACGTGAGGTGACTGCCGAGTTTAGTGTCTCCGTTATAGCCTGGATGGACGGCGATGGCGGCAATTCCCTTATGTCGTAGCCGGTGGGTCAAGCCATATGTGAATATGATATTGGCTGTCTTTGCTTGCCCGTACCCCGTCCAGGGGTCGTATTCTTTCCCGTCGGGATAGTTCCAGTCTTCGAAGCGGAACGGTGAGATAAGGTACCCAGAGCTGGTCAGATTGACTACACGAGCGGAGCCAGCAGCCTCGAGGGCTGGCACGAGCATGTTGGTAAGTAAGAAGTGGCCGACGTGGTTGGCCGAGAGCTGTAGCTCTATTCCTTGCTTGTCCAGGGTGTATTCCTTGATTGCCATCACCCCGGCGCTATTGATCAGGGCATCGATCTTGGGTGCTGCGGCGAGGATCTCGTCTGCGGCGCGGCGGACGGACTCATGGTCTGTTAGGTCCACCTGTACTGCTGTGGTTTTGATGGTGCTGTCGATGGCGTGGATTTCATCGAGCACGGGTTGGACTTTGCCGAGGGTGCGTGAGGCAATGAGGATATGTGCTGGCGCGGCTTTGGCTAGAGATGTGGCTATCTGGCTGCCGATGCTGGGCTTGCCGGCACCGGTTATGACGAAGGTCTTGCCCTTGATGTTGGACTTGAAGGCTTCGATGACCTGTTCGCTGGTGGCTGTTGCGTCGAAGATGGGCATGGCGGGTGCTTGAAGATGTGGTGAATTGGAAGCTGATGTGAAGAGAGATGCGATGAATATCTGTCTGGGTTTATAGGGGATTTTACAGGGCTTTATATTCCTGGGAGTGCTTAACCGTAAACGAGGGAGCTCCGTCTTTGCCAAATTTACCTGGGTCAAAGCTACAATGTGGGCCATTCAACCACTGCCATCCTGCTGCTGCTTAGAAATAAGAAAATCCATCGAAAACATCACCAGGAGATAGACCGGCATTATTCGTAAACCCCGAGTCTCAATCCTTCAAATCCACTCTGCTTACACCGTAGACGACTTAGTTGGTAGTTATTATAACTGGCGCAATTTGTAATCATACAGAGGATGGTTATGGCCCCATCAACTCTGATAGACTATGTCTCTGCTCATAATGCAAAATAACAAGCAGCTCTTCAACAGCAAAGGGGCTGTGGTTTAGTGGTATAATATTCCCTTAGCATGGGAGAGGTCCGGGGTTCGATTCCCCGCAGCTCCAGCTGTTTCTTTTTTTGTCTTTTTTCTTTTTTTGCCCCTTCCCGCTTCTCCCTCCCGTGCTATGCGCCCTTCCTGTTCATGCGCACCTTGACATTTTGTTTTCTCAACGGCCCGCGTGTTCTGTATTGGATCTTACTAGAACGAGCTCATTCATTCTCTTTATCTCCCTCGCTAAGTCCAATTCATCACTAAAGTAGGCAGTCTCGCTTCAGAAACTGCATTGGTATACAGAGTACACTGAACCCATAAAGTAATCGGCTACGATCGCCCACGTCGACTGCAATGAGAAGAACCCATTGTAACATCTTATTATGACCTCTAAGCATTTTAACCTTCATTAGGGTTGATGGAGCCTTCATGAAGATCTCTACACCCTCGCAGAAACGCAAGGTCCGAGTCCGATGTTGTATCGTCCACCTCAAACTACCAGTCGGACATGATTCTGTTAGCACAGCAAGGAAAAGGACCACCGAGCTAAAAATAGGATTTCTGCACATCTACCTAAGTTGAGGCGAGCTCCAGAAGACAAAAAGCATATGGAGGATAGCTCAAAGCCAACGTCATCTAGTAAGGCTGAAGGGACCTCGACATTCCATGCATACACCACTCGGCATAGAATATAAGCCGTTTGCTCTCCCGATCAAGTGTCATTGTCTGTTCCGCCCACCGAAATAGCCTTTGCCAGTGATTCCACCTCGCGATGCCATACCGAGGACCGTTGTAGTAATAACCAGTTGCCCACAATGGGTTGTCGTTTATTTCGTCAAGCTTAGGTGCTCGAACGACCTCCTCATACAGCCAACCCCCAGCAAACTCGATAATAATTGCAGCACCCATGATGGATACGACATGGAACTGTTCTGGCAGTGTTTCTTCGAAGGTAGCCTTCATTTCATTGACTAACCAAGCCTGACCTTGCAAAGCTCCCACTCTGCAAAGGCGCGCTATAAAGGCCCGAACGTTAACAAAGTAATTTTGGTTTCCATTCCTGTCCATTCCTGAGAAGTTGTCAGTCTTCGAAGATTACTGATTTTAGAAGCTAGCATGACGGAGGCTTTGTTGCACAGGTGCTGTACACAAACACGGCCTCTATGAAAAGAGAGGAAGGGGACCCAGACGTACGTTGCGCCGAATATTGTCCTAAATTGGTCTTCAATTGTGGCATGATTTCATAGCGACCGTATCCCTGGTACTAGAATGTTAGTTTCGCTGCTTGGCTCAGGCTAGTTTCTAGGTAAATATCACTCACACCGACACCTTCAGGTTGTGGTATATATTTTTTCACGCGGTCCGAGTCTTGCAGTCTTTGAATCACCCGCACATAACGGTCTTGAGCAGGATTATCGTACTCCACCTGCTGAGATAACTCAAGTGTAAGGTCTCCGAACAAGTCAGCACCACCGGGGTAAGTAGGGTCATCTGGTGGCGGGAGCAGTTTATGAAGTGCTTGGGCAGTTTGCTCTATGGTAACAGTATATTCTGGCGCTAGACACTCCTGTATGATTCGAAAAGCTTCCAACCGCGAATAGTTGCCTCTCATCGCCCTGTTATACTCATTGTCTCCACCCTCCAAGGTCAAGACAGCCATGGTGACCTGAATAAAAGACTGGATCTGGTGTGGTTTTCAAGCAAAAAAGTACAATAAAGTGAGTGTGCAGAAATTGGTTCTCTGAAAGGACTGAACGAGTAGATGGATAATAGCAGAGAATGTAAGATGTTGAGTTGAGCAAGAAACAAGTCTCTTCGGCGGGCCAGACGACACAACCTCAGCTAGGACGGACAGTAGGAAGGCGCGAAGAAATCGAACTCGGCAAGCATAGACACCCGTTGTACGTTCCTTCCGCTATGGCTTGCAGTGCTTACTTGATCCTAAAAACAACCGTTACAACTCATTCCATTCCACCAGCGAGATGACTATTGATTCGTTTATAGCCCCGCTACACTGAGTACCAAGCTAACGACAACCTTAGAACGACCATTGCTTCAACCAATTCCTCATATCATCTCCCGTAATAGGCCCCAGTGCAGCCATAATTCCGCTTGCCTTCTTTGCCTTGTCCACCTCAAGCGGCACCAAGAGCGTAGCACCTTCCGCGAACTCACGGTAGAATTCGAGTAGCTTGAGAGCAGGCTTCTCTGCGATCTCCTGCTTGGATGGGTTTTTCATGCTCAATTCTTGGAGGTGTTTTACCCACGTTGTGAAACCCACCGGTTTCATGTCCGGGTACATGTCCTGGACGGCAGGGACGAGTGCTTCCCAGGTTGTTTTTGATGGGTTGACGAGGTGAAATACTGCGTGTGGAAAAGCAGAAGACACTGTAACGGCGCGAGTGTGAATGAATTCGGTGATTATGCGGGCGAGGGTGTCCTGCATTCCAGGATAGTGCATTAGTAGCCAGACATAGCTATCCACTAGACGGAGGATGGAAGGGTGTGTTACCACGGCAATCCAATCAACAGCCCTCAAACCCAGCGTGTCCGGAACTAGCCCTATTGCCTTTGATGTCTTGATAATAGTAGGCAGCCAGTCTTGGGAATTCCATAGACCTTCTATTGTGATCGGACCTGCTATCTGTCCCACGCGATATACGGTAGTCGGGACGCCCGACCTGCGGCTTGCTTCATGACATATCCGTTCGGAGATGTACTTGGACTCTCCGTACCCTTGACTCGGACATGCCTTGCTGTCTTCAAGTGGGCTTTCAGGGATGGTTGGTCCCATGTCCCAAGTCCAGGCGCCTACGGTGCCCACTGATGAGATGAAATGGACGTGCGCAAGATGAGTACTCTGGAGACTAAAGTCAATGAAGTGCCGCACGCTGCGAATGTGCGGGTCTTCGAATGAGTCGACGCTGTGGTTGAAGTCGACTTTCCAGGCGTTGTGGATTATTGTTGTTACGGTGGTCAGGAGGGCGTTGTACTCGGGTAAGGGAAGACCGAAATGTGGATCGCTAAAGGAGACGGTGAGATATTCCACCTTCCTAAGGGAGACTGGAGTAATATGAAGGCTTTTCTGTTGGAAGATCGTTTCTTGTTTGGACTGGGCGTTGCTTCGGTTGAAGCAGTATACTTTCGCGACGCTCGGGTCTTCGAGGAGGGTGTGCAGGAGGTAAGTCCCCAACGACCCGGTGGATCCTGTCAGTATCACTGTAAGAGTCGTGTGGGTGTTTGCAGTCTGCTCTGGGATGAAGCCCTGGATTGGTAAGCTGGATGTGTATTTTTCAATGAGACTGTTGAGCTTTTCTGGGCGGGAGACATCTGTCGCATTGCCACCGTTCAGCACCCGCAGAAGCAGCTGGGCCAACTTCTCCACGGTCGGATTTGCGTAAACCATCTGGGTCGTCAACTCTACCATACTTGGGCCACCGCAGTGGACAAATAAAGCGCTGCGTAGATACTTAGCGACTTGGATGGTTTGCAAAGAGTCGAGACCAAGTTTGTAGAGGTCTTCCTGGGGACCAAAGCCAGATTGTTGGAGGGTCTTAGTAACCAAATCATGAATGTATTCACTAAGATTAGACAGGTCTGGGTTTGCTGGAAGCTCGTCCACTGCAAGGGTTGCCTCGTCAGTCATGGTATAAATGGCATCAATCTCATTGGCGTAGTCTTTGACTACAGCAGCCCTTCGCGTCGAACCCTTTGGTGTGGTTTGGAATGGCCTATCCCTCTTAGAAAGAGCGATCTTGTCTCTCATGATACGTCCGTGGGCGGCTATAGTTTTGTTTGCCTCCTCGATCGCAGGCCAGATATCATCAATGAAAGAATTGGGGTCAAGGTATGAGTCAAATGCATCCCAGTATGGCTCGACCAGCAGAGCAGTGTGGAATTGTCCCTTTCCGACCACCAATGCCCGGGAAATAAGAGGATGCGCCTCGATCATGGTCTCCAACATGACAGGATTGAACTTGAACCCATTACTCAGAACGATGACGTCGTCTAGGCGACCATGATGCTTCCATAGTCGGGGATTAGACGGATGTCGTGTGAATAGATCCTTAGTATGGTACTCAGTGAACGAAGGAAACGTATGACAGATGCCGTGATAATTGCGTGTGGGCGGGCGAGGAATGACCAGCTCATAGATATCATCTCCAACAGGCTCCATAACAGCGCCGTAATTAGGATTCCACTCGAGATAACCATAATCTTCGTCCTTTTCGGGAACTATGGAAGGGATGAGATTGGTTTCGGTGGATCCCAGTGCTGTGATCAGTTTCGTGTATTTGCGGACCTTGTCACCTGTTTCTGATGAGAGTGGTGCTCCACCAAAGTAAACACTTTCCATTGTGCCCAACGTGAGCAGGGCTGCCTCGGACAAGGAAACATCGTCAAGGATTGACGGGGGAAGAAGCGCTGTAGTTGGTCGACCGAATTTAATAAGGTCCGTTAAGAAGCCAACCGAAAGGGGCTTCTCTGGCCCATAGAGGAAAGGTACCGAGTGGAAGATGGACGTGGTGAAAGCGACGATCCCCATCATATGAAAGAACGGAACTACGCTGAGAACAAGGTTATCCG